TCTCAGAAGGGACGTGTTCAGCACAGCTGCTAGGACCTGGGATGCTTTCAGCTCCTCCAGGGTGGGCTACTAGCACTAGTGGGCAGCTGCCCCGAGGGCGGGGGGTGGTGAGGAGCTCAGGTATCAGCAAGGGCTGCAGAAGGAGAATGGAGACTCGTGCCTGGACAGGGCTGTCTGGGGCCCAGCGCTCGGACCTCAAACATCTCTGCTTCCTGACTGGGGGCTTTATGGGGTCTATCTTCCATGTGGAGTTAACTTGGGGGACTGGCACCCAGGTCTGAGCACCTGGACTGGCCTCGCCCAGGTGGGAGGCCTGGTCTACACCTAAAACTTAGGTCAGCCTAGCTACATCACATGGGATGTGAAAAATTCGCACCCTCAAGACAGTTCAGCCATCCTAAGCCATGGTGCAGACACCACTAGACGAAGGGCAGAATTCTGTCAGTCTAGGTACTGCTGGGATAGAGCAGGGACAGCAACAGGGAAAACCCCGGCTATCGCTGTAGCAAGTGTGGAAGCTATCACACTACGGAGGCAGAGCTGCAGTGACTGGTGCGGACAAGGGCTGAGTGTGGCACTCAAAGGGAACGTCAGGGTTGTGCCCTGTCTTTGTGGGTTGGAGCACTGCTGAAGAGGGAACACAGAGGGGAAGCAAGAAGACTGGTTGTGTCCCAGTGAGACGGAGCTGGCTTGGGGCTTAAGCAGGCCGTGTGTGTCTGTGGGCTTGTTAATAATATGTATTTAAGTCTAATAGAACCTCTGATCTGAAACCATCCTTGGACTGGGAGTGTAACATTAACACCCCCCCTGCAGAACCTTCCCTGCATTCCTGTCCTCGCTGGGGCTGCACTGACCGGTCTGTGTCACTCAGACATCTCCGGACACATCCCAGGGCTCTTTTCCTTTCCTAGTGAGTTGTGGGAGAACTTCTTTGTCCTGGGAGCATAGGGGAATTGTGGGAAGGCATTTGTCACAGTCACCAGGCCGATGCTCTGTGTATGAAGCCAGTTAGGACTCCTTCACCAGGGCAAGAAGCTTACATGGCTTCCCCTTCCTGGGTCTGACCTTGGATCATTCAGCATCCCTGTCCTCACCATGGTGAGTCTGCCCAGGCGGGCTCCTGGGAAAGCCAGTGGGCCCTGCACCCCAACTCCACAGTCAGCTGTGACTCTCAGCCAGTGTGTAAAACAGAAGGTTTATTAATCAACATGTACACAGCATAGAACAGAACTTGTTAGCACAGAAATCAGTGACTTTCAGCCAAAGCCATCATGGGGGGACTCTGGGCCAGATGCCCAAGACACTCCTTCCTAGAGTCCCCCACAGCAGACTGAACTGGACCCAGCTGCCTGGCCTCCAACATTCCCGTTGCTCCTTCTCTGGTCTTTGTCTTGCTTCCTGGGCAAAGTGTCACCTGGTCACATCCTGCTCCTGGCTCTCAGGTTATGAAGGGCACCTTCCATTGCTTACATGCAGGCAGCTGAAGCAGTCTCACCAGCCCCTGAGGGTCTCCGCAAAAGTCACACATCTTTTATCCCCACTACCTAGCCATTGGTGCAATACACAGGGAAACTGAGGCACACACTGTATTCATGCGAAACAGTAAGGCTCACATACAACACAATAAGGAGGAAAACCCCACTTTCTTGCAGCATCGGAGGACTATCAGCACTCAGGTGATATAGCCTGTCTCCTCCCTCCCTTACCAGCCCAAGTGAAAGCCGCATGGGGTGTTAGCTGGCCTGCTGGGGCCATAGGCTAACCCAGGTGCAAAGCTGTCACCACCCTCCAGTGAGAGGGTTTCCTGTGTGGAAAGGAGGTGGTTGGGGCAACACCCATCCCAGCCTGGGCTAATTCTGCAGTGAGAACAGATCGATTGTTCCCGGAAGCTCCAGTCTCTGCTGGGTTTGTCTCGGCCAGTTGGCCTTGTGCAATCTGTCGCAGGTGGCTCTATGCTGGAGCGGCTCTGGGCACTGGACCGGCGCTGCTGGCCCCTGCATCTGTGGAGCTTCTTAGTTCCTTGACCCGGGGCTAAACCCAGGCCTGCTCTGCTTACAGATGCTGCCAGCTGTGCCAGGAGAGGCTGTTGGTTGGCAAAGCCTCCAGAAGAATTTATGAGTTCCCAGGAGCTTGCCTGGGCATAGATCCCTTTGAGCTAGCAATGAGGAGAAAGCGAAACCCAGTCTGCAATGAACTCTCTGCTTTTCTTTAGCTCCATGACTTAAAACCTTGTGAATCTGGCACTGCTCCCCCGGCAGAACAGAAGGGGATTGTTTTCCAGGAAGGCACTGGGAGTAGAGGTTGGGTTTAGAATGGACATGCGTGGTTCAGAGCTGCAGAGAGTGGGCTATGCTGGCAGGATGACTCTCCTGGAAGCCTGGGCCAGCTTCTTGGTGCTGTTGCTTCCCATCCTGTCGCTGTCCATGTGCGGAACCAGCAGAAATCCTGAAAAAACCCAACATCTAGTTTGACAGTTCCAGTTTTTGGCAAAAGTAAATTTCAGGTTTCCACCATCGACTGTTCACGCGTGCTGGGGAGAGACAGTGTCATGTGCTTTTGGTTCTGTTCCTTGACTGGGTGACTTTATGTAGCTATAACCACAGCACAACCTGCAAACGCTAGCTAGGGCAGTGGTTCTCAAACTGTGGGTCGCGACCCCATTTTAATGGGGCCGCCAGGGCTGGCGTTAGACGGGCTGGGGCCAAAGCTGAAGCCCCACTGCCTGGACTCAGGCTTCAGCTTCAGCCCGGGGTGGTGGGGCTCAGGTTACAGGCCCCAGGCCTGGAGCCGCAGGGCTCAGGTGGGCTCATTCTTCAGTTCCCCCTCCTGGGGTCATGCAGTAATTTTTGTTGTCAGAAGGGGGTTGCAGTGCAATGAAGTTTGAGACCCCCTGGGCTGGAGCAAAGGAGCTGTGGGTGGCACTGCACGGGTAGTGACCGTGCACGGGCAGAGGGTCCCTGCAGCTGCAATAGTGGCTACTCAGACTCTGCAGTGGTGTTGTTCCGGGAAGGAATTCCCAAACTTTAGCGAATGGGAATTTAACAGATTTCCTGATTTGTTTGCACTGATCACACATTAAAAGAAAGCCACTTCTCTGCCCCGAGAGGCTCTGGTTTGCCAGGGTTAGGTAACAGAACATGCAGAAGAGAACTGAGGGCTTATGGTGGAGCACAGACTTGAGAGTAAGGGATCAGAGGCAGCTGTGAAAAAGGCTGGTCGGGTTCTGCAGTGGCCTATCGGGAGCCTCGTGTGTGAGACGCAGGAGGTATTCGTCCCACGCTGCTTGGCACTCACGGGGCCTCCGCTGGAGTCCTGGGTCTGGGTCTGGGTCTGGGGGCTGCGCTCTAGGAAAGTGGATACATTGGAGAGAGTTCAGAGGAGAGCAGCAAAAATGATCAAATGTTCAGAAAACCTGACCTGTGAGGAAAGGTTAAAAAACTGGGCATTTAGTCTTGAGAGAAGAAGACTGAGGGGGGCTGATAGCCTTCAAATGGGTTATTACAGGCTGCCCTGAAGAGCATGGGGATCAATTGTTCTCCATGTTCCCTGGGGGCAGGACAAGAAGCAATGGGCTTAATGTGCAGCCAGGGAAACCTAGCCAGTTTTCCTAGTATCTGACCTAACTCTCAGGGGAGTTCAGGTCTGGAACAGGCATCCCTGGGAGGATGTGGAATCCCCGTCATATTGGACAAACCCCTGTCAGGGATGGTTTACTTGGGTCTGCGTCAGTACAGGGTCTGGAGGTGAGGACCTCCAGCCCTACGTTTCTAGAATTCAGTCTGCAACTGAAGTAAATGACAAGCTTCGCTTACTTCCCTGTAACATGGTAAACTCAAGCTAGACCAGTGGTCCCCAAACTTTTTCTGTCCCCTCCCCCCCTTACCCATAATGGAATCTGTTTGTGCCTCCCCTCCCCCGGGGTAGTTGGAGGGCCAGAGCTGGAGCCTAGGATGGGGTTAGGAGCTGCAGTGGGGGCCGAGGCTGGGGTTGGCACTGTGGCTGGGGCCAGGGGCGGGGCCAGAGTGTAGCTGGGGCAGAGCAGGGCTGGCTGGTGCTCCCTTCCCACCCCCTTTGGGGGCTGGCCCAGGCCCTGCCACGTGCCCCCCATCCCACCCCCCGAGATTCCCAGGGAAGTGCTCCCCATAATCTGGGGACCACTGAGCTGGCCAGACTCTGCTCAGAACGAACACGCCCAATGAAGAACCTGCTGAAGGCTGGCTCTGGGGCACTGTTGAAGTGTCCGTGACACAGCGTCCAGGAGGTGCTCTGTGAGCGTGGCTAACGCTAGCTGGAATGGCGAGCCCTCGTCTCAACAAGGGCAGCTCAGAACCTCAGCCCAGCTGCAGGGGATGGGAAATGAGACACACTTATTCCCCGGAGGGGGCTGAGAGCTGCACCCCGCTGGGACCGTTAGCAGCAGAGCCAGGTGGAGATGGACATTGCAGTAACTGTAGGGGAAAATGAGACTCTCCCAAAGCATGTGCCCTGCCCCCACAAGCACACGCATGCTGCAGAGCCCCCAACTCCAAACAGGCTCATCCCGTGAGCCTCGGATTTGCTGAGTCTGGGCTGGAGCCTGGTGACTTCCAGGCACATGGGAGGGAGGGCACCAAAACCCGAAATTCTCCCTCACCTTTACCTCCCGCTCCTGGCATGGGCTGCATGGAGGAGGCTCCTCCGGCTATGCCGGTTCTGGTGCTTTGCACTGGTGCTGTGGGGTGGGGGTAGGAGGGAGTGACGGGGGTGAGCCCTAGTGCGGACACGGCTTCGCTGTTGTTCCACGGGGCTGGCTCAGAGCAGGTGGCTAAAGTGCTGGGCGCTCCCTTGCCCTTGGGACCCCTGTTGCTCCCCACAGGGATGCCGGTGCAGACAAGGCTCTGAGCTGGGGGGTGTTGGCCCAACACGTCTCCCTCGGGGTTTCCCAGCAGGTGTCTCCAGAGCAGACTGGCTCCTTTTCTCCGTGCAGGTGCCCTGGCTAACGCTGTTTGTCTTGGCTGCAGATGGTAAGGCGTACAGCTCGGACGAAGAGAAGCTGGAGGTGAAATCAGCGGAGACCCCGTGCAGTGAGAGGGAAGAGGAGAGCTCTGCACCTGACAGCGAGGACGAGAGCTTCCTGGATGGGAGCAGCGCCAGCTGCCTGGGGCCCAAGCCCAGGCCCAAGAGCAGCTCTGGAGGGGAGCAGGCACCTCCCGGCTCCAACCCAGGGAAGAGCCGCCGGAGGCGCACAGCCTTCACCAGTGAGCAGCTGCTGGAGCTGGAGAAGGAATTCCACTGCAAGAAGTACCTGAGCCTGACAGAGCGCTCGCAGATCGCCCATGCCCTCAAGCTCAGTGAGGTGCAGGTCAAGATCTGGTTCCAGAACCGCCGCGCCAAGTGGAAACGCATCAAAGCCGGCAACGTCAACAACCGCTCCGGTGAGCCCGTCCGCAACCCCAAGATCGTGGTGCCCATCCCCGTGCACGTCAACAGGTTCGCCGTGCGCAGCCAGCACCAGCAGATAGAGCAGGGCAGCCGGCCCTGAGCCCCCCGCCCGCACGCTCCGGGCTCCACTCAGAAACTCTGTGGGAGGAAAACGCCAAATGCCCTGGCTGCAAACGAGCAGGCGCGTGCCATGCCCAGCAGAGGGGCCCGCCTTGCATGGCCAAGCGGGGCTGACCCAAGCTCCCATTCCAGACGCTGCAGCAAAGGGAGAGGCTCCAGTGCAGACCCTGGGGGCGGTGCTGCAGGGGGAGTTTTAACCATTTGTGCTCCAGCCGCTGCTCACAAACCTCTGTAAATATCCCTTATTTATTCTGTGTAAAGTCTGTACATATGGAATTGTCTGTCTGTCTGTCTGGGGGAGTGCAGGGCTGCCTCCGGGAGGGATGGAGCTCTAGCTGGTGCTGGGCTCTGCTTGTACCGAGCCCCAGGGCTCCTGTGTGCAATGATCAGTCTGTGGGTTCTCCAGGCCCCTTATCTCTGCATGCCGCCCTCTCTTCCCCCACCCCTTCAGCCCTTCCTCCCTGCGGCAGGGCAGGGCTGCACAGAAGGGGTGGATGGCCTATGTATTCTCTCACTGTCCGTAAGGTATCGCTGTGACTGGCTGCGTCTGTGCCCCATCCATGTATAGTTGTGATTTCAATAAATTATTTTCTATGGAAAGGAAACAAGATTCTTCCCTGCTTCCCTGAAAGGAGAGGCTCTGCGTGGATACCATGCCGCAGAGGTGGCCGGGGGATGGGAGGTGGCAGAGGGGGAAGCAGCTCTCCGCCAACGTGGCACGTGCTGGAAATGCACCACACCAACGCAGCACAGTGCAAAATCAACACGGTGCATATTACATGGGTTAAAACCTGGCTGACCTCCAAAGGTAACTGCATGGGCCACCATTTCCCAAGGAGCTTTCTGGGTGAGATCCCACAGATGGGACTGTTCTTGGTCTAATGCGATTTCAAATCTTCCTGATGATCTAGTCAAGAACATAGACAATTATTGCAGGTGTCACAGAGCCAGCCGGGGTGGGCGACGATGGGGTAGGTCGCAGTGCAGCCGGGACCGCTCATGGAAACAAAATGGGCTTTAATGCACCTCCGTGCAAGGTACCTGGAAATAAGGTGTCCCCTTTCCCCAGGCAGGGGAATTAATCATGGAGCAATTTCCCAAGGGCCGTGGTGGATTCCCCATCCCTGACAAGTGGGTGTTTGGTTAACAGACCTGCTCTGGGAATCAGCCTAGATCACTCGTAGACTGCACTTCTCCCTGAAGGCAGAGTGAGAACCAAGGGCGGAGGGCTGGAGCAAAAACCAGTTCAAACCAGACACACACTTTCAAGTGAGGGTAACTCACAGCTGGGGCCGGGTGGATTCTCTATCACCCCATCTGTCGGCAGCGCTGGCGACTGGGAATGGGCGACAGGGGGTGGATCACTTGATTCCCTGTTCTGTTCATTCCCTCTGTCATTCATTGGCCACTGTCAGAGACAGGAGACTGGGCTAGATGGACCTTTGGTCTGACCCAGTGTGGCCATTCTTAGGCCTGTGCCCTGCCTCAGGCAGAGAGGCTGGATGCAGGTGTCCCAGGGTGCGAGTCACTGCTTCAGGCCTTGCAGGAGCCCTGATGGGATGCTCAGAATCATTCTTCCGCCCTGACTGCGGTAACTCGATGAACGTGCCAGGGTAGCTTGAGTGACCCTGTGCCCCAGGAGGGATGAGAAAAAGGGGGAGTCACTTGTTTTCCTCACGGGCAAGTAACCCCCATGAGGTTCATGGATCTCAGGCCAGAGTGACCATCCTCCCCAATCTGTCTGGCCTCCCACAGAGCCCAGGGCTGAGCATCTCACACCAGGGATGCCAGCATCCAGCCTCCACGTCTGCCTGAGCAACACAGCTAGTCTGTCAAGGAGCAAGGCCCTGCCCCTGGCCGTTCCCCCTCGGGCTGCAGCCAGTGCTCCCCACAGCCCTTCTCTGAATGCTCCCCTGTGCGGCGAGGGGCTGGGCTGGGCCCCAGCCTGTGCATCGAGCCCGCCTTGCAGTAGCATGGGTGGAGCCGGGTGCTTGGCGGTGATTAAGTAGCTGTCTCCCACCACAGCCTCGTTGAATCTCCGTGGTGGTGACAGAGCAGAAGAGGGAGCCCCAGGCTTTTAAACCAGCATGAGGCTGGAGTCACAAGGGGGCGTCTCTGTCCAACATTTGGGGGCCAGGGAGCTTCCTCAAACCCTTGCTCAGCTGCTGCCTCACCGGGCACATCCGCCCCTCCCTGAGATCACCGAGCCACTTGGCAGCTCATGCCAGGTCACTTGGGTGCATGTCACAACAAGCCATTCCCTGAGACACACACAGCGGACACTAGGAGCAGGCCCTACCCAAATGGTGGGTGAACATGAACATAAGTGTGATCAGACTGGGTCAGACCAAAGGTCCATCTAGCCCAGTGTCCTGTCTTCCAACAGTGGCCATTCCCTAGAGCCAGGGCTTTGTGCACCCACCCAGCATGTGTGAAAACCAGGGTCTGTCTGATGGGAGCAAGCAGCTGAATGCATATCTCCCACATCCCCTGCCTCTGGGGCTGACAGGCAGTGTGGGCTGTTAATTGCTCCAGGGGCTGCTGTTCCACTCTTTATAAAATAAGTACATGGTCAGTGGGCCAGAGTCAGAGAGAACAAATCTATGGCTCAGTGCTCCCAGCCCTCTGTGGCATGAGCTAGCACTTCTGTTCTCACTCCCACCCCTGGGTTCACCAATCCTGCTGTGACAAAGTGGGAATTTTTTGTAGTAATTGTTGTTAAGCCTATGTGTGCCTCAGTTTCCCTGACACTTTGCTTGGCTGCCCAGCGGGGGAAAAGGAGTATATTTGCTCTCCAGGACAACTAAGTAATGTGCATGTACATGCATCCTAGCAGACTGAATGGGTCACTAAAAAGGACTGGTTGAGGCTGACCCACATTAGTGGAAAAGGTGAGAAGCCATTGGAAAACCATCAGTAGGACGCTGACCCCTAGCAACCACTGACCCAGAGCAAGGAAGCTGAGCCGAGACCCAAGGCCCGTAAGATGTGGGGGCGAATCCGAGTTGGCAGCAGCACCCACGTATCCATGTTCACTTCTCCTCTGATGCATCACGGCCTGGTGCATGCCTGCACCCACCTCCCCCTGCCCCTGGCAGCACCCACGTACCCACATTCACGCTTCCCCCAGTGCATCACAGCTACCGCATGCCTGCACCCCCTGCTGCCCCCTGCACAGACACACGTGGGCCCACTCCTCCAGGACCTGGCTGGCCTCCCCCCGGGCTCTCCCACAAGCTGATCTCCTGGCCCAGTCCCACCAGCTCTCAACACCTCTGCTCCTCCAGCCTCTTCATCCCTATCCTGCCGCCCCCATCCCTGAGCTTCCCCTGCCCCGCTAGCTCCAGCCTCTGGATTGGGCACAACCAGATGCCTGCAGCTTGGCGCTGACTGATGTCCCCTTCCCAAGGCTCCAGGCTCTCACGCTCACGGCCTGGGACCCCCGGCCTCCCACTGCAGCACTGTGCATCCCAGAGGGGCTGGCAGCAACTGCTCAGGGCCAGGCCCAGTGCGGCACTGGCCCCAGACCCCAGTGTGGCATTGGGGTCAGCACTGATCCCCCCCCAGGGAAAACCACTGTCAACCCCTGGCTCTGGCACTGCAGCACAGCGCCCCCTAGCACCAGGCTGGAGAACGGACTGCATGGGGGAGCCATTCCCCCCCCACACACACACACACAGATTGGGGTGTGGTTATTGGCCTGGCCTGTTCTACAGGCTGCCTCTCTTCCCTGCCTGCCTCGCCCCAGGCGCCTGGGCTCAGGCCCCTGGCAGGATGCCGCCCTCCTCCTGCACACCTCCCGCTGCCCCCAGCCCCACCGCAAGGGCTGACCGGGAAAGAGGCCACAGGGGCCCCTGCGCCTCACCCAGATCCAGCCTCAGCTCCTCCACCCTCAGAGCCCTGTGTGTCTGGAGGCTGGGGGCCAGTCCTGGGCTCTGCCAGGGCCAATGGGCAGGGCGGGCCCCCCCCGTGATCCCTGGCTACCCTATCGGGTGTCTCAGGGAGGCCTCACTCAGTGTAGCACTGATGGCCTCGTCTGCCAGGCCCGCAGGCCTCTCCCCAGCGTCGCCCAGCCACCAGGGCAGGTGGCAGACCAGCAGTCCAGGGGTGTGCTGGCGAGGCCTGATGGCGCCAGCTGAAAGGTCCACTCACAGTGTGGAGCAAACACGCCTGAGGCACACTGAGCAGCGTTCCTTTCAAACGTACATGTGGGCACCCAGCCATGGAGGGAGGGTGACTGAGGGCTACAGCAGAGAGGCCAAAGGACACATTTGCACGGAGCTCCAGGATGGGCATGCAGGAGGGCTCAGCCCAAAGTCATTAATAACACACATTACCTGATGGCCAAGAAAGGCAGCCGTACGGGTTTAAAAACTGACATGATTCAGAGGGGGAGTGAAGGCAGCTGTAAAAAAAAACAACATATAACATAAATGGCTGAAAGGGGGCATTGATACTAATGACTAGCAATCAAAAACTAGGCACAGCCGCACATAGATAAGGAAAGCAAAAGACCACAAGGTGAAATCGATGGCCAGCAGCGAGAAGGACAGTGAGGAGTTTTTGAAGTGCATTAGGAACAAAAAGAAACCTCACCATGGTATTGGTTCAGTATGAGGTGGAACCAGTGGCTTTGGCAATAATATTGCAACAAAGGAAAAAGTGTTCAATAAATATTTCTGTTCTTTATTTGGGGGGAAAAATCAGTGGTGTAGTTATGACATATGATATTGATGTCACTCACTCCATTCCACTAGCCGCTTAGGAGGCTGTTAAACACCAGCTACTAAACTTAGACATTTTTAGATGAGCAGGTCTGGATGACTTGTATCCAAGAGTTTTAAAAGAGCAGTCTGAGGCATTGGCTGACCCATTAATGTTGATTTTCAATAAGCCTTGGAACACTGGGGAAGTTCCAGAGCCAATATTTTAAAAGGCTAAACGGGATGACCCAGGTAATTATAGGTCTGTCAATCTGACATTGAGCCTTGGCAAGATAATGGAGTGACTGATAAGGGACTTGCTTAATAAAGGATTAAAGGAAGGTAATGTAATTAACATCAATCAACATGGGTTTATGGAAAATAGACCCTGTCAAACTAAATTGATAGCTTTTTTTTTATGAGCTTACAAATTTGGTTGATAACGGTAACAGTGATGATGTAATAAATTTATACTTCTGTAAGTCATTTGACATGGTACTGTGCGAAATTGTGATTAACAAACTAGAACCATACATTAAATGGCTCAGTGATCGGTCTGAGACTGTTGTCACTGAGCAGGTGTGGGGTTCTATGCCGGGGGAGGCCCGTGCTTTACACTCGTTAACATTTTTATCAATGACCTGGAAGAAAACATTAAAGCATCACTGACAAAGTTTGAAGATACCATGAGGCTTGGGTGAGGGAGGGGATAAATAATGAAGAGCACAGGTCACTGAGCCAGACAATCCGGAGCGCTTGTGTCAAGCTTGCCCTGCAGTGGCTCCAGAGGGTGAGGACCAACCTCAGGGCAGGCGGCTGGGAACCAGGGCACAAACCCCAAACTGGCTGTGAGCGCTGTACTTAGATTTCACCAACT